TTTATATTAAACAGCATGAGAAATTAGTGAAAAATCAGTGACTTGAAATAAATAAAATTATTAAAAGCTTTACTGAGACACAAAATCATGTCACCAGGGGCGCTGCCTGAAAAATAGAAGATGCTAAAATATTATTTTAGATGATTAGACATTTGTACGGACTTATGTGGTAGGGGTTATCAAGTCTGAAGTCTCGCACTATGTTGAATTCAAAAAGTTCATTAATAATTACGAACCTATAAATGCTGCTGTTGACAAAGCTGATTAGAAATAGGGTTATCTGAAGTTCAGGGTCAGGACCACACATCAAACATTCTCTACCCTATAAGTTTCTGTTGTATTTTCATGCCATAGCCATTGCAGGGATCTGCAAGAAGCCTTCCCCCCCCCAAAAAATATCTTAAAATGCTTTAACATGTGTGGTGTTGTGGTCCTTATTCATAATTTTCTGATAAGTCTGCTCATGGTAAGTAAAAAAAACAGCAGTACAACCTAACAGGGATGTGAGAGTGTTCACATTCTCTATCACAAGATTAGACAGTTATCACGCCTGACTTTTGCCCTCATCAATCCTGTCTCTCTTTAGGGCTAGTTAATGGTGTAGTTATTAGTGGATAATACTGATACTGAAGTTGAGGCTGCTTTGTTCTTTGCTACATGTAGAGATGCATGAAACACTCTCAGTGCAGTTGCTCAAGACAAAACTAGACCTACAGTCAGTGTTAAAATAAAATTGCTATAGTTTTTATTGTTGAATGGATAATGTGCAGACATACAGTCACAAAGAGTATATATATCTATATCTATCTATCTGGTTTGTTCCATGGTTCATCAGTTCCAAATGTCATTATAATGAGTTTCGTTACTAACGCTGCTCTTTTTGAGCCAAATGTTTTTCATAAATGAGAGAGGTTTTCATACCTTGGCTTGTTTGGAACAGGATTTGTTTGGGCATGTTGAGAGTATGATAGCAAAGGTTGAAAGGTTTTGGCCTGAAGAAAGAGAGGTATGACATTCCTTGCTGCTTTTATCAGGTAGGCTACTGCAGTTTGTCAAGGAGCAATGAAAAAAGGGACTGGAGGGTAATGCAATAATGCTGTGGCTCTGAAAAACTGACAAAGTTGATCTGTATAATGGTCACACTGGTTGCCTTGGATTTATATTTGCATTAGTTCTTGGTTCAAATGTCACATTATTTACAGAGTGATTAATTTTTCACATTAAATAAAAATCAGTTTTAGAGTCTCCTCATTTCTTATTTTTGGAGAAGAAAAACTGATGGCCTTAAGTTTTATTAAATTCTGACACATAGGTAATATACTCGAAACTGTAAATCATTGTTTCTTTTTAGTTCCTTCAGTTCTTCAGGTGAAGACTGAAGGCTCTCGAATAATTTAGAGCTAGTTTTTGTATAAAAGCGTCAAGAGTTTGAGTATTATACTATGTACTATGTCCCTTGGTAGCTAGATAATGTGTTAGCTCACTTTTCCTTTCTAAGGCTATAGCAATGGTTGCAGGTAGGCCTTTAGAAAAATAAAAGTTATTCAGTTTGATTGTTTTTAGCAGAACGTTCTCACCAATGAGAAAAAAAATACAAAGGTTTACACAGTGTAATAAACAGCATTATTTTTGCCACAATGGATGAGTCATTATTAAAAGGAAATAATTTTGTGTAATTATCTCAAACAGAGCCTCTAGCTAGCTGCGATCACTACATTCAATTATGTGTTAAAGAATGTTGTTCTTTTTTGTGTTTCATTTATTTAATTATTTATATTTAGTATCTTTTATTCAGATAGATGGTCTCGCTGAGATCAAGACATTTTTTCAAGAGACACCTGTGTACAAAAAGCACATAGAAAAACTGACAAAGACAACTCAAGACATATTATACATGATCACAATAAAGAAAAAAGTAGTTGCAGACAGACAAATACAACTTTTTAAATGCTTATAGGGAGTTTTTTTCAAGTCCAGTGTGAACAAGAGGCATGGCTAATGTTAAAATGTCATGCAACCTGACACTGAAATGTTTACCCTTTTAACTAAACATCATACAATGCTACTGTCTTTGATTTTCTGGTCACTAAAAATCCTGCCG